CAGCCGGGCCGGCTCTGCGTCGCCCCCATCCCTCACCAGCAGCCTCTGCTAAGGAAGCTGGCGGATCTGGGAAGGCCGCGATGTCTCCAGCCGGCCAGGACCACAAGGCTATTAACCCAGCTGCGTCACGGGTCGCTGAGGCCGCTGCGCAGCAGAGGAAACCCGAGCTGAGACCACAGGACTCTCGCCGCACGCTACCCCCGCCCGCGTCCCCAAAGCCCCGCTTCCCCAAAGCCCTGCGTCCCCAGCTAGCCCACCGCAGAACATACCCCGGACTCTAGGTTTCCTGGCCGATAGAGAGCAGAGCTGAGAGGACGAAGAATCTACTATGCCCGGGGCCTAAAATACCTGAGGGGCGGGGGAAGCGGGCGGAGTCTACAGCCTGGCCACAGCCCTTAGGCAGGGGCAGAGGACAAGGCCAGGTGAGTGCCTAAGGCCCTCCATCCTAGCCCCTCCTCTGGCTCCTGGCCAACCCGCTGCGGATTGTGCAGCTGATCTTTCTGGTACTTTCTTAATGCTATGGCTAACTCCAGCCTATAGGAATGCATGAAGTTACTACTCAGGCTGGAGTCTCTGGGTGGTTTCCCACAGCCTGTTTACTGTGCCTTTGTAGTAGACTGAATGACAGTCTTAGTGTCACCAGAAGTATACCAGTGTTTAGTGGATGGACATTAATGTGACAGAGCAGAACAGAAGTTTAAAGTGAGGGAGGAAAAAAAAAAGATTAAACTACTGGGGATGGAGCTAGAGCACCTGTTCATCAGGCACAGAAAAATAGAGGTGGTCAGGGCCTGTCCCAAGACTCCACTACTCTGTACTGGAAAAGTCAGACTTGGAAGGGCTGATATTTCACATCAATGAGAACGAAGACCCTGTCTGCCATCTTGCATTCTTTCTAGGAAGCCAGTGCCCTGGTGGGGAGAATGCTGGTCACTTTTAAACCTCTAAGGACAGGTCACTCTAGAAACATCAGACCCTTACCCCAAACCTAGGGTTCCCAACAATGACCACCGTGACACTTACACTGGATGCTTCCTGTGGAGGCTGTCCTGATTTGCAGAATGTTAACCAGCACCCTTGGCCCCTCTACTTAGTATATGTCAGTAAAAAAGCAGGAGGCCACCCTAGCTGTAAATTTTCATGTGTGAAGTTCTGAAACAAGGGAATTCTCAGATATCTTACTATTCCTCCTCCTCATCCTTCATTCACTCCACTCTGGGTTTTGTTGTTTCGCTTGTTTGTTTTTCGGTTTTTAGATAATTGTGTGTGTGTGCTGTGTCCAAGAATGGGTTTGCATACATGAACTCAGTGCTTCAGAGGGAAGACAGTGTGGTGTTCCCTGGAACTGGAGTTGTGAGCTGGGAACTGGACTCTGATCCTCTGGAAGAGCAGCACCTGCTCTTAGCCCGACACATCTCTCCAGCCCCTCGAGTCGTTTTTTATTCCAGTTCATCCTTCCAGCATGTCCTTTGCAAAATGTACTGTGTATATATAGGATGAATGTGGATATAATAAATTCTATATATAACTGCAATTTCCCCTTTCCTAAAAAGACTAACATTCTGTGATCAATAATTCTGTAAGTTGCTGTGTGTGTGTGTGTGTTGGGTTGTTTTAGAGCTATCTCTAATATGAAAGAGAGATCTTCCTTATTCTTTTCCCCAGCAGTACAGTATTCCTTTGAGTGCACTGGACTGAGTCCTAGACTTTAGGTTTTCAAATCTACTACATGTGGTGGGGGCAGCCTATGTGCATCTGAAGACAGCAGAAGTCTCAGGTGACCCTCTTAGCCTCCTTACCATTACCATAGCTCTAACTATCTGCCTATTTCATTGTCAAGTCTGTGGGCCATGGCATTCTGTAGGTCACCCAGCAACTCTGCTTCACGATGCCCAGCGGTCATGTCACAGCACAGGAAATGCCTCCACTATGGCTGGAGGAGTGGTTCTGATTCCGTAAATTACCTTAAGGAAATGTTTCCAGATTCTGTGGGTTAATAATGAAGGGGCTCAGCATCTTCCCAGAAAGACTCCTCAACATGAGGCTGGTTAATGCATGCCTGTCACATTTTATGGTGTGTATTCTGCTGGGCTCGTCATGACAGACAGGTGACAGTCAAAAGGCACCAGTTTTTACAGGACGTGATAGAAGTACACAGTTGGTGATCTACTCCAATGGGTAAGTAATGCTGGTGTTAATGCGACCAAGGCCTGGGATTCGGTTGTCTACTGTGCCCCCACTGAGCACCACTAGAAATGCTTCTAGGACCTTTCTCCCGTCTCTTAAGGGAATTCCTGGGGGACAGGAGTGGGCAGGTGCTGGCAATCTTCCCCACCCCCACCTCCCACCAGTAATTGTACTCAGAGCCTCTGTAGGCTAAGCCCACGCTCTGTCACTGATCTCCCTCTCCCACCCAGCTCCCTGGGCCAGCAATTTTTTATAAAGCCCGGCAAGCCAGTCTCTATGCCTGATGGAGAATATAAAGGTCACTGTTAGGCATCACTCACAGGTCTTCTGTACTTTCTCCTCTTTCCTCTCTTCTCTTCCTCATTTAATGAAGAACTAACTGTGCCTATCTCTGGTAGACAGCCTCAGCCCTGTGGACCCTGATGGTGCAGGAAAAAGAACAAAAAAGGAGCAGGAGGTTATCAGTGACTCATTGGTCTCCTGGGTTTCTCACTTTTCCAAAGGGGTTTTCAGAGCCTGAGTCTCCACCCACAGCAAATGCCCAGGCCTTTGTACTGGAAGCTTCTACATATCAGTATAGGTGGCTGATGGATGGATAAATGAGGGCAAGGCCACTGTGTGAGGATGGAGAAGTTCAGAAGGCAAGGAAGGGGGATGCAGCTCAGTGATAAGTGCCTGTGTGCCATACGTAAGATTAAGATTCAAGTTTCAGTCGTTTGCAACATACACACACACAAACACATACACACAGACACACGAGAGAGAGAGAGAGAGAGAGAGAGAGAGAGAGAGAGAAGAGAGAGAGAGAGAGAGAGAGAGAGAGAGAGAGAGAGAGAGAGAGAGAGAGAGGACAGAGAGAGGGGGGAGGGAGGGAGAGAGAAGGAGAGGAACCACAATGAACTTAGTCAAACAAAACATTATTTTAAAAATCCAGGTACAACCCTAAAAGGAGAGTATGGAGAAGACCAAGGGGGACCTCTCCTAGCATCCTGCCTAGAACCTTCTGGTACTATGAAAGCTACGCAACATAGAGGAGCCTTCCAGATCAGTATCAGCATGATTTCTTCAAGCTGTGTGACCAAACTGTGTGGTGACTTCAGCAATACAATCTTTCTATTGAGTTCTTGTGGGCAACCAGGAGCAATGGCAACAGCATGGATTTTTTTAAGGCCTCTAGGAACTCCCTACCTAGCAACTCCAAGGAAGTATCTCACACCTAGCACTAGCTTTCTGTTTGATAACCTGTCGCCTCTAAGAGGAGTATTAATCCACTCTCTGGGAGCAGAAAGAATGTAGGAGTCAGAGGTTCAAAGGAATGATGTAACCCAGTGTCTTCTGGACACAAGAGGGCCATTGTGTCTATGAACTCAGCTCATCTACCTGTACAAGATAGAGCCAGTTAACATTCCAGTGTGGATGAGAAAAGAGCTGAGGAGGAGCCACTGCTAGGGGAGGGAGAGGCAGGGGTGTTGCACCTGGAAGTCTGCCTATTCGCTAAAGGCCAACCTATACCCAGGTGCACATGGATAGCACTCACTGCACCCAGTGGGTCATCTTTAAAAGAAAGAAAGGAAGGAAGAAAAGAAGGAGGAGGAAATGAAGTTGGGAGGAAATGGAGGGAATATGATCAAAATATATTATATATTATATATATAGGAAATTTTCAAAGAATAAACTTTAAAATATTATACTGAAAACAAAAATAAACAAAAAAAGAGTTAAAGGGTGTGGGCTGGGCACACAGCTGAGTGGTAGAGAGTGTGCAATGCATGCTGGGTTCCTTCCTCAGCACCTTTAGAAGGCAGACAGCAAACTGAGTGGAATCAGGCCTGGGCAGAGATGAGGAGAAGCACAAAGCACTCAAGGAGCAGCTTGAAGAACTGGAGGGAGACAGCCAACCAGAGCCAGAAGGACCTGGAAGGACTGTGCTGAAGGTCACATCAGGGTTTAGTGTATCGTTTGCCTTTTGAATTGTGACAATCAGAAACAGTAAAATACTGGGAAATATAGAAATTGTCTGATAAAACAGAAAACCCAAACTGGAAAACAGTTTTCTCAAGAGCACAGCAGTGATGCTGCTGTTCTTTCTCTTTAAGTTTTCTTTTGTTTTTAATCAGCCTCATATTCCAGGGCTCAGATGACATTTGCACTCCCCAGCTCAACACAGTGGCAGAGCACCTAGAAGACAGGTGCCCAGAAGAGGCGGGGCCATGAGGTTTGCAGGTCCACTGTGCCAGAAACCTGGAAGACAGCTTTCGTGACCTGAGTTTCAATTGTCTCTTCACTATTGAAAGTATTCTCTTGTATCTAAAATTTAAATTTTAAGAATCTTGTTACTCTGGAGATCTTTTTTAAAGAACACCTGGTCATAACAGTTCAAGAACTCTAAATCAAATCTATATGAGTCCTGCTGCTTCTCCTGCTTTTTCTTACTCACATTTTAGGAAAACCATTCATTTGGAGGTCATGTATCCACACATTTTTTTGTATTAGTCTCCAACTAACTTTGCATGTTTTTTGTTTGTTTGGGCATTTGGTTACAGTTTTAAACAGTCTTCCACTCACTCTGTCTGGAAGTCACTATGGAGTTCAAGCTGACCTCAGTCTCCTAACAATATTCCTGCCAGCCTTCCAAATGCTGGGCTTACAGACATGAACTACCATCCCCAGTGGGGATGGCACAGCCTGTGGGCTGTAAGGCACTCAGCAGTCAGGCTGTCCACACAAGATTCGCCTCTCAAATATTCTTGGCTTACTAACACAAGTATTCCTAATAATGCTACACTAATGTAAGAGTGAAGCAGACATCTCACCTGGCAGACAACAGTTGGTTAGGCAGGAAATGCTGCTGCAGGGTTCCACTGGGGAATCTCCAGTGAGGATGCTTCAGATGCTTGCAGGCTTGACCCACATTCACAGTGAAGTCCTTCAGTTGTGGCAGGCTGGCAGGATGGCCCTAGTGGAGATTATAAGAGGTCCATGAGAGTATAGGCCAGTGGCTAGCACTGGCAAGTGGTCTGTGTGAGCCCAGCAACAGCGCTGAGAGTTCAAGTCACTGAAGCAACAGCCATGCCCAGTCTCAAGCCCTCTTGCTGCTTAGTATCAACACAGATGCTGGGGAAGCCTAGAGACCATTCCCAAAGTTCCAACTTTTATATCATTTCACTGGGCACAGGGATCATATGGGGTGGTTCATTAGCTGGTTCTTGGTTAGGCTGGTATCTGACCTGCAGGGTGGCTTGCTTCTGAGGACTAGCTTTCAACAGAGCTGCATGACAAGCTTAAGCATGTTATTCCAAGTCACATAAGATGGTTTTAACTATGTTCCTAACACCAAACGAGTTGTCTTTTCTGGGACAGGGTCTTGCTGTCTCAGACTGGCCTTGAAACAGCAAGCCTTCTGTCTTAGCCACCCAAGTACTGTAATTGCAGTCATGTATCAGTTATGCCCATCTAACACTGCTGAAGCTAAAATAACTGTGCCATGCCAGGAACAAGCATGAAATTCATTAACAAGCAAGAGTTACATGGGCTATGAATGAATTCACCAAACACAGAAGGCAGAATTAGAGTTTACTAGATATGTTGAAGTACAGCTACAGTGAGCAAGGCATTCTAACAGGATCGATTTATTGGTGGGCTGGCGACAGAAGGGGGTGTTTCTATGACAGCAGTCTGGCAGTGTCTCAATGTGACAGTGCCCTGATTCTCCAGTCTTACCAGTTGGGACATTAATGAGGAGCTCAGGTCTCACCGGTTAGGCAGACATCTTTTATTTTGCTGAGGAATACATTTTACAGAGGTGTTTGTCTCTTTGGGGGACTGGCTGTCTAGGCAAGGCAGGTATGGGCTACTAGGGAGCCAAACTTCTAAGGGTGTCGACCTACTCTTTCAAGAGTGGAATTCTCTACAGTGGTGTCAGGCTGCCCTAGGACAAATTGCAGGCAGAGTTTATTCAGGTTAATTCCCTCTCGTCTGGTCAGCGGAAGCAGTGGCCTTGCTCTGAGGCAAAAGTAGTCCTGTGTTAAAGCTAGAATAACTCAGCACACACATCTTCCCCAGAAGGACACTGGCAATATGCTGATGAGTCAGCTATAACAAGATAAAGGCTGCCCTGGTTACTTTCAGGAAGTTGAAGGCAATTTTTGTTTCTTTCCTTCCTTCCTTCCTTCCTTCCTTCCTTCCTTCCTTCCTTCCTTCCTTCCTTCCTTTCTTCCTTCCTCCCTCCCTCCCTCCTTCTTTTATCCCTTTCTCAATTCTCCTTCTCTCCATCTCTATCCCCTCCCTCACCCACCCCTCTTTCTTTCTTTTTTCTTTTCTCCCACACTTAGGATTGAACCGAAAGCTTTGCAGGTGCCAGGCAAGTTGCTGTGCCATTGAGCTACATCCTTACCCTTTTTTCTTCTTAGACTAGGACTCACTGAGCTGCCCAGGGTGGCCCTGAACCTACTTTCTGGTCCAGGGAAGCCTTAAACTCGTGATCTTCCTGATTCAACCCCCTGAGTACCTGGGATTTACAAGCTTAAATCATAGTGTCATGCTTATTTTATTTTTAAATGTTTATGTGTAGTGTGTGTTATTGTGTGTATCATGTGTGTGCAAGTGCCTGTGAAGGCCAGAAGAGGGTGTTAGATGCCCTGGAGGCAGAGTTACAGGCAGTAGCGAGCCACTGCAGTGGACACTGGGAACAGAACTCGGGCCCTCTGCAAGAGCAGTGAGTACTCCTAAGTGCTGAGCCATCTCTCCAGGCCCAACCTTCCCATTTTTACTGTAAATACTGACACTTCACTTCAGACTTCTGACAGGAGACTTTTGGCTCCAGGGGTCTGGAAACTCTGTCCTAACCCCCGCTAACACAATATTTTCAGAATGTCGTCCCATGAAGACTCCTGAAGATGGAGTACCAGGGTAAAAGCACGGTCACTGCTCTAAAGTCACTCTTCCCTTTGACCTGGGCAATCCTACCTCCTTTTCCACAAAATCCCCAATCACCTCAGCAGGGCAACTTCAGACTGGAGACTGTCTGTGCTCAGCCACTTTGAAAACAAACTCCCCCATTACTAAATTCTTCTCGACAATCAGCTTTCTGAATGGCCTGCTTCTCTGTCTTCTCTGCTTTTCTTTTTCCATGGCAAAAGAAGCTCATCTCATCTACTCCAGTATCACTGGGTAATCTCTTTCAAAATGCAAATGAAGAGGGGATTGTCCTGTGCTAGACAGAGTGCAGGTGTCCAGCTGACTGGCCATGAGGTCTCGGGTCATTGCTGAAGGGAGGTTCACGAGGATGCCAGGAAAACTGCTCACTCAAGTACCAAGTCAGAGAAACCTAGTGTGTTAATCATAACAGGGAGACTTATTATTAGTTATGAGTGCTTGACCTTAGTTTAGGCTTATCCCACTAGCCTTTATAACTTTTTTAACCTGTTTCTCTTCATCTACATTTTGCCTCAGGGCTTTTCACTTTTCTTTCATTCTGTATGTCCTACTCTCCTGCTTTCTCATGTCTGGATGACTGGTGGCTGCCTGGCTGGCTGGCCTGTGGCATCTCCCTGGCTGGCTGGCCTGTGGCATCTCCCTGCCTGGCTGGCCTGTGGCATCTCCCTGGCTGCCTGGCCTGTGGCATCTCCCTGGCTGGCTGGCCTGTGGCATCTCCCTGGCTGGCTGGCCTGTGGCATCTCCCTGCTGCCTGGCCTGTGGCATCTCCCTGGCTGGCTGGCCTGTGGCATCTCCCTGGCTGGCTGGCCTGTGGCATCATCTCCCTCTCTTTCTCCCTCAGTCTCTCTCAAGCCCAGATTCCTCCTCCACTTATTTTCTCTGCCTGCCAGCCCTGCCTATCCATCTACTGCCTAACTACTGGTGTTCAGCTTTTTATTAGACCAATCAGGTGCCTTGGGCAGGCAAGGTAAAACAAATGCAGCACATCTTTACATAGTTAAACAAATATGCTATTCTGTAACACACACAATCAGTAAGACAATAAAATAAAAAAAAATTAATAGCAGTAAACCTGTGGTGAATGGGGCCTAAAGATTATGAGGCTAATTTCAGGCAGCCTGTGAGTGGTGCCTAGGAACACCAGCCTCTCTAGCCCCTGCCACTCTAGCTCTGGGAGACAGAGACTATATTTGGGGTTTGCATTATAGCCAGGTGGTCTTAGAGACCTGGAAGATAATTTCCCTGATCAAATGTAATGGTCTCCTTGAACATTATTCTAATTTCATTTCTGTGATAAAATACCCTGACAAAAAACAACCGAGGGAGAAATGGGGTTTATTTCAGCTCACAATTCCGGGGTACAGTCCTTCGTGACGGGAAAATCAAGGCAGGAACTTCAAACAGCTAGTCATATCACATCCACAGGAGAACAGAGAGAAACGAATGCATGTAAGCTCACTTGCTTGATGGTGTTCCACACAACTTCTCTACTCTTAACAGTTCAGGAACTCTTGCCTAGGAAATTGTGCCACCCAAAGTGGGCAGGGTCTTCTCACATCAACTGACTTAAATGAGACTCTCCCTCACAGACATGCCAAAGGGCCAACACAATGTAGACAATACATCATGGAGACTCTCTTCCCAGGTGATTCTAGGCTGTGCCAAGTTGACAATTAAAACTAACCATCACAAAATCTCATTTGGATGTCACACAATAGGTTAAATTACAAAGTGCTAGCTTGGGTATTCTATAATGAAAGTGAAAGTGGTATGAGACATATATATCATTTATTATTCCTCCTTGGTGAAGTGGCTAAAATGTTTCCATTCTTTTTACATGAAGACGGAAAGCTCCAGTTCCCAGTGCCTACTTGTCTTAGTCGTTGTTGTTAACATGACTGAGTACTACAGACAATATAGTTTCAAAAAGAACAGAGACTTAATTAGCTTGTGATTCTAGAAGACAGGATGTCTAAGAATGAGGGACTGTATGTTAGTGAGGGTCTTCTTGTTGGTGTGGACTCTGCAGAGTCCTGATGAGGTACAGAGCTTGACACTGTGGATGGGATGCATAGAAAAGGCAAGGATGAACAGGCTTTAGAACAGACCCGTTCAAGATAGCCCATTTCAACTGGGAGGTGGTGGCACACACCTTGAATCCCAGCCCTTAGGAGGCAGAGGCAGGTGGATCTCTGTGAGTTTGAGGCCAGCCTTTTCTACAGAGTGGCAGGACAGCCAGGCTTGCTTACACAGAAAACCTCTGTTTTGAAAAGCAGGATGGGAGGAAAGATGGTTCACTGCCCAAGTAATCCCTTAGTACATGAATGAATTAGCTCACTTACAGCAAAGCTCTCATGACCTAATCATTCCATAAAGACCCCCATCTCCTATAATACCTAACTTGAGGGATTGGCTTCAGCATGAGTTTTGTTGGGGACATTCAAAGCACTGCATCACCCTACCCAGAACCAAAGTACTCCAGCCTCTTGTGAGGAAGGTATCTGTTTGCTGAGTCAAGGAGAAAGCGATTGGGTAGAACAGGACTCTATTGTCTAGTTATCACTGCAGCATTCCCCGGACTTTCTCTCCAAATAGACACACTGCCCCTTCTGTTTTCCAGGGCTATTAGTGTGTCTAAATAAAATATTAGACCTTCACAAGGACAGGGGTATTTCCTAGCCTGCAAGATAACTATATAATGTCATAGTCAAAGTCCTTTAGAACATTTACACTCCTATTCTTTGGATAGTTTGATGATTGATCATTGGCTTTGATGGCTTTATTATATGAACTGCCTACAATTGGAAAACTGGTACCAGTCAATTGCCACACATGATGTAATTGTTTCATTTGTTCCACAGACTTATTCTACTTACTGAATGGGCCAGGAGCCACTTGGAGACAGAGAGAGAGAAGACACAGTCTCAGCCTCAGTACAGATGTGCACACAGATAAAATGTGGTCTGGTATGTGCAGTACCAGTGCTGAATATAAGGGACAAGAACAAGTAGAAGCAGGAAC